AAGGAGAAAAGGAATCAAATTACCTCTCAACTCAAGTTCCTCTTGATCAACAGCCAGTTGTTGTTGTCTACCAACCAGATAATTAACCTCCCTTGATACAGAGGAATAGAGGGTGGGACAAGATACAAGAAGTCCTGTAACAGTGCTATGAACAAAATAAGAAAGACAGAAAGAAGACCGAATTTGGGGTGTTGGGAGAGGAAGTCATGAATTTAGAGTTTGAGATCTAGTAGTCAGTGGGAATAAAGATTATCACTTCAGACTACTTCTTAAGTCATGTCTTTACTTTTAAATCTGTAAAACGAGGATGTTGGCAGAGCTAGAGCCACTGGATAGGTATTACAAATTAAGAAATCTATACAGCATAACAAGACTCTTTCTAGTGAGTAGAGTTGTCCATCCCAGGCTTTAAGCAAGACCAGAGGCCATTTGTCAAAGATGCTGAGAAGGATTTCTTAATGAGCCAGAGGTTGAACTATGACCTCTAAAGTCCTTTCTAACTTTGTCTATCATGGAAGATGCCCCCAAAATAATCAGTTATTTTATAATATACTAAGAACATTTTAGAGCATATAAAAACCCATAGCTGCAGTTATGCTTCATTTTTAAATTAATGGCATACCTCATGGATGTTATTCGAAGAATATATTCTTCAGATAAAAATGAGATTAGAACTTTATCTTGGCTAAAAGTTTATGGGAAAATAGAATGTATCATTGCTATCAGTTAAATCTTAATTATTTCTGGATTTGAGTATAGTTTTCTTTTATTTTTCAGGATAAGCCATGTAGAAATGAATGTTTTGATACATTTTATATATGGAGGAACTTTGGACTTTCCAGACAAAGCTAATGTTGGGTATGTCTGATTTTTTAATGATTTTAAATATAAAAGTATTAATATTTTGTGGCTTCTGCTTTGTTGAGCTTTGTTTAAAAGTGTCAATGAAGTAGAAGCTTCAATTTTATTGTCTATTTTGCCTATCTTGTGTGTATTTTGGGAATATCTAAAAATAGTAAGTCACCTTATTTAGAAGAAAAGATGATGTAGCAACTCACAGTGATAAGATTAATAAAAGTCTCTTACACTTAAATTATGTTAGAAAACTTAAGATTTGTTTTGGAAAATAGATGACAGGTTTTTATAAAATTAACTGAACTTTTATCAAATTTGGAATAATTTTTTTACTACTTTATTTTTAAATTTTAGGATGTGAAAAGAAAAGGAAAAAAACCCTAAAATTAATCTGAGAATTTAGGCATCCTAAAGATTAATGGGACTTCCCTGGCAGTCCAGTGGTTAAGGTTCCACGCTTCCACTGCAGGGGGAGCAGGTCCGATCCCTGGGTCAGGGAGCTAAGATCCTGCATGCCGGGTGATGTGGCCAAAAAAAAAAGAAAAAAATAAAAAAATAGTAGGATTCTTTAGTACTCTATGGTGAAATGCCGTCTAAGCTGCTGAAATCCTACTGGAGAGTGAAATCTATCTTGCTCTTCTAATTTTCTGCATGTTCTCTCCTTTTATTGCTATTCTAACATCAGACAAATGAAGGCGGCTCATTTAATTTTAAATATTCATTAGTTCCTTTAGTTATAAACTGAATAAATATGATTTGGGGGAGAAGGTATCATGAGTCAAAGGGATTAAGTACTGAAGTTTTGCCCCTGGAAACCTATAAGAAATTTTATCATGGTGTCAAGGCTTGTAGGTTTCCTAAGTACCTAAAGTATGTGTGGGTACTCAGAAATACTTGCCAATTGAAAGAAGCAACAGAAACCCTCTGAATCATTGGATGCCATCTCCAATCTTATGGTCATTTGTAGGCATTTTCAATATGATAAGCATCAATTAGTTGCCCTCCCCCTAAATTTTTATTATCGTATTTGTTGTGAAGAGTTGTAACTTTTACAGCCTTTGAAGCAGTTTCCTGGGCTTTGTTGCATATGACTGAGAATATGAGGGAAGTTTGATTGAAACATCTCCAAATTTACTTCGTGTTATTCCCCACAAATCAAATCAAGTTACAGGGCTTTCAACTTTTGACCTATGTCCTTTCTATAATCTATAAAGAGTATCTATTATGTAGGGTATAAAATTAGAATTAAAATAATTAAAATTATTCTTTTTTCTAAACTATATATTATCAAAAAATTATTGTATATTATGCCTTGGTTTTTAAATTGAAGAATTAACAGTGCATCTATTTTTACTTTAGGCAGATACTCAACATGGCTGATATGTATGGACTAGAAGGATTAAAAGAAGTAGCAATCTATATTTTAAGAAGAGATTACTGTAATTTCTTTCAGAAGGTAATTATTGAGTCTTAGAAATCTTTTACCTAGTGTTTAAAGTCACCCATTATTACCTACTAGCTTTTGCAGTACGCGGACCTCTCACTGTTGTGGCCTCTCCCGTTGCGGAGCACAGGCTCCGGACGCACAGGCTCAGCGGCCATGGCTCACGGGCCCAGCCGCTCCGTGGCATGTGGGATCTTCCCGGACCAGGTCACGAACCGTGTCCCCTGCATCGGCAGGCGGACTCTCAACAACTGCGCCACCAGGGAAGCCCCCTACTAGCTTTTTAACTCTGTTAGCATTATCATTTTAACTAATGAGAACCCTAACTGAGAAATAACTCTTAGGATGTGCTTGCAGAAAACAGAAATTAATTCAGATCATTTTAAGTAAGATAAAGTTGAGGTGGGGGTTTACTGAAATGATATGGAAATATTCTATATAATTCAAAGGTGGAGTGTATGGTTGGGACTCGCAGTTAGGGTTTGGGACTAAGAGAAAGGAAGTTGGAAACTACTTTCTCCGTTTATCAAAGAGCTACACAGTGCTTCATTGGTTCTTTTCCCTGAAAGGACATTCCTCCTTCCTACCACTTCTCTTTGTAGCATGTACTTGGGGTGTGATATAGTTCTCTTCTACTTCTCTCCCCCAGGTGCTATATGAATACTGACTTTTTAATTTTAGTTTATGCAAATGTAAATTTATTGTCTAAAGAAAGATACTATACTATGCATTTCAAAGCCATTTTGTACATTATTCTTAGATTCACCATTGTTCTAATTTTCTCTGCTATCTTTTATTTTCTTATTTATGCTTTTCTACATTTTCTAAATTTTCTACCATGGTCATGTATTACTTTTATAATCAACAAAAAACAAATCTTAAAAGAATTTTTTTTTTCGGTTCGCGGGCCTCTTACTGTTGTGGCCTCTCCCGTTGCGGAGCACAGACTCTGGACGTGCAGGCTCAGCGGCCACGGCTCACGGGCCTAGCCGCTCCGTGGCATGTGGGATCTTCCCACACTGGGGCACGAGCCCGCGTCCCCTGCATCAGCAAGCGGACTCTCAACCACTGCGCCACCAGGGAAGCCCTTAAAAATTTTTTTTACATCAATAGTCCCCTCTTATTGGCTATTTGAGCCAACAATATGCATTGTAATTATGTAATTTTAATAATTTTAATCACATTTAAATTTAGATTTTTGTGTTGGAATGGACTTTTCCTATCTGTCTATAAGTTGTAGCTGAGGAATCACCCCATGTCCTAAAACAGAGTCATGAACTGGGTCTACCACCCCTACCAACCCTCAAGGTTCACTGAGAAACAGTTAAACTCCTTAGCTACCTTTAATCAACCATTCATTCCAGCCTCTATAAGCAAGGGAGCTAGAAGAAGGAGCACAGTCTGTGGTGTCCTCAGCATCGCAGAAAGTGAACAATCCTGGTGAAAGACTTTTCCTTCTCTTTCATCTTCCCCCATCTTCCCAGCCAAGAGAAAGTTAAGAGCCTGTTCCAAACAAAGATTAAAGATAGGGGTATCTGCAGTGAGGAGATAATGTCTTCTCAGCCCCGAGGTGGACATCTATCATATCTGTATAACCAATCCACTCTGGAACTTCCATCAAAGAAGAAAAGAAAGTACTAAGAGATTTCTTGGAAGAGCCTGGAATATGTCTCAGGAATCAGTGAGAATATACTTGAATATGGAGATTTCTTAATGGAGGAGGAGGCTTGCTGGAGAAGCCAGTACTAGCCTGGTGACTAGAGGCAATAGTTATTGTCATAGATAGAAAAAAATAATGGAGAGTCCATTCCACACCCCAATTATACATGGTATGCAGGGAAGGAAAGGGACCTTAGTGGTTCAATGAAGATTAGAAGAGACTGATACAGGGTCAAATGACAGTGTCCCACGTAAGGAGGCATCAAGCATCATGAACCATAGAAGAACCTTTACCACTGAGAGGTTAGGGTGAAGTTCAGTCTGTTTCTTAACAAGCCACCACATTAGCAAAGGCCACCAACATCTGGATTAGAGTAGTCAAGGACATCTTCCTTAATAGGAAGGTAATCCATGTTGGTCACTGGTTAGTTACATAAGGTGACCATAGCCATCCATAACCCTCTTCCACAGGAGTTAGACCCACAAAACGGAGCAAGAGACCATGTTCTACTCTCCATTCCAGATCTCCCCAACTAAAAGTGTAGTCAGTGATGGGGAGTGAAAGATTTAAATCAAGTATGAGATAGGTGTTTAAGTAGTACTGTACTGAATTTCAATACCAAAAGTAACCAGGGTTTCCCTGGTGGCGCAGTGGTTGGGAGTCCCCCTGCCGATGCAGGGGACGCGGGTTCGTGCCCCGGTCCGGGAAGATCCCACATGCCGCGGAGCAGCTGGGCCCGTGAGCCATGGCCGCTGAGCCTGCGCGTCCGGAGCCTGTGCTCCGCAACGGGAGAGGCCACAACAGTGAGAGGCCCACGTACCGCAAAAACAAACAAACAAACAAAAAGTAACCAGAAGGTACTGGAATTTGCCTATGATCATTAAAGTATGGGAAAAGAGGGAATTTGACACAGCATGGTTGATAGCGCTAATTGGGGAAAGAAAGTTTTGTTAGTATCTCCTTTAAACTGAGACTCCTCAATAAACCAATTGCATGAAACATTTAAAAAATAATCTCTTTTATGTATTGTCTTTGGACCATTGCCTCTACTTTTTAGTATGTTCATGAGTATACACAGGTTACATGCAGCTTCTTATATTTTACTTTCAATAATTCACTTAATTTAAAAAATACAAAAGGCATATTTGTTGCCAATAAAACAACAGAAGATGAAATGCTTTTATATTATCAATATGGCATTTTGTTGAAATTTTTTTTACTTTATTTTAATGAAGTCTGTACTACCGTGCTAACAGATATTTGAGAGCAGTTTTTGTTTTTATTGACCTGATCTTTAAATTGTTTGCTTTACATATTTTAACAGTATATATTTTGATAAATACATTTTTGAATGTATAATTTTTAACTTCTAGATCTCAATTATGCAGTTTCTTGGCAATGACTTAAATATAGTAAATCTATAATAGCACATGCCACAGTAATATATGATGGGATATAATATGGTGGTTACCTGTCCCCAGAACTCTTGGTAAGCTAGCTTCAGTCATTTCATTAACTTCACAATCTTGCCTTTTTTATTTATTTATTTATTTATTTATTTATTTATTTATTTACTTTGCGGTACGCGGACCTCTCACTGTTGTGGCCTCTCCCGTTGCGGAGCACAGGCTCCGGACGCACAGGCTCAGTGGCCATGGCTCACCGGCCCAGCCGCTCCGCGGCATGTGGGATCCTCCCGGACCGGGGCACAAACCCGCGTCCCCTGCATCGGCAGGCGGACTCTCAACCACTGCGCCACCAGGGAAGCCCAATCTTGCCTTTTTTAAAAGTAAATTTTAGAACTTCATTTATAGGATTATAGTGGGTTTTACATTATGTTTTTTGCCACTGATTTAAAAATATATCTTAGGTTATAATTTAAATATATGTCTTCCCAAATTTTACAAGCAGGTTTTGAAGATGACTAAAGGTCAGTCATCCTATTACAAAAACACTTAGGAAATCAGCATTTCCATATACGTAAAATTCTTAGAAAGCTAAAGTTATCCCTTTAAGCCAGGGGTCAGTAAACTTTTTCTGTAAAAGGCTAGATAATTAATATTCTAGGCTTTGTGGGCCATACAGTCTCCATCACAACTACTCAGCTTTGCTGTTGTAGACCCAAAACAGCTATGGACAATATGTAAATGGAACAGCATGGCAGTGTTCCAATAAAACTTTATTCACAAAAACAGTGGTGGGCTAGTTTTGGCCCACAAGCTGGTTTGCTAGCCTTTGCCTTTAAGCAGCAAATTATTTTGCATTTTAATATTTTGTATGGAAATTATTCTTAAGTTATATGTCAAGTAGTGGACTTTGTGTTGTGGAGAGCTGGTTATTCCTAAATAAAATTAGATTGCTAGACTTCTTAACTCTTGTGCTTACTTTTATAAATTTTTATGCTTCTGGATGCTTTTAGGTTGTCAATTATGTCTATACCAGTAGTCTCTTCCCTTATACTACTTTTATCTTATCTGAAGTGGGTCAGAAAACCAAATTATTTAACTTAGTAGAATTATTATATAATTTATATAGTGATAGCCATTTCCGATTTTAGGACAATTTAGAGTACCTTCAGTTATCTCAAAGGGAATAACTAAATTGTTGATGTGCAAAAAAAGGTATTTACAGTTAATTTCCTAAGTAGTATGTAACACCTTTAGGAGAAGGGTATTAGGAAATCAAATTAATAGCAATTTGTAATTTTAAAAGTTGGGGGACTTCCATGGTGATGCAGTGGTTAAGAATTCGCCTGCCAATGCAGGGGACACGGGTTCAATCCCTGGTCCAGGAAGATCCCACGTGCCGTGGAGCAACTAAGCCTGTGCACCACAACTACTGAGCCTGTGCTCTAGAGCCTGCGAGCCACAACTACTGAGCCTGCATGCCTAGAGCCCGTGCTCCACCACAAGAGAAGCCACCATAATGAGAAGCCCACACACCGCAATGAAGAGTAGCCCCCGCTTGCCACAACTAGAGAAAGCCCGCGCACAGCAACGAAGACCCAACGTAGCCAAAAGTAAATAAATAAATAATGAAATGGAAAAAAAATCTATTAAAAAATTGGAAATCACTGGCCTTATTTGAAGGACTGTGCTGGAGGCATTTCTGAAGAAGCTTTTGCTCTTCTCTGAGTGCAGGGTATCTTCAGATACATATTTAGAGACTATATATACATATTGGTTGATTGCTGGTCTTTATTAAGTGCATAAACTCAAATCACAACTAATGAATATGTACAAAGAGAAGCTGAACTCTATTCACCCTAATAGGGCAATAGATGTGCTTAAGAACATAGTCTAAAAAACTGAAAATACATGGCACAGGTAATACGTAGCACATATTGAGGCTTAACACCAAGAGCAGTGAGTTCTTCACTACTTGTATCTACATTTTATTTATTTATTGTTTTAGTTCATTACTTCTGTATATGTGCTTTTTAAAAATATGTTTATATAATCACGATCTAATTAAATTCTGTCATTTTGTTTGAGGTCAATGTAGGACCTCCCATTGCACGTGTACTTAAAGTTATATTTATACTTTAGGAAGCAGATTAGACCATATGGTTGTGTTGCAATGTGATGTGCTAGAAATTATTATACCACTTGTACTCTAGAAAATATTTACACTAAAAGAAATTAGAATATAAACTGTGTGCATTCTGGCAGCTAAAAGAACTCAGATGCTATCCTATAAAAACTAAAGTTTATCAGTGATACTTGATTTTAAAAGAATAACAGACTTTTGAATTACATATATCTATTCTGCAGTTTAGGTATGTAAATCAGATCATTTTTATGAACCAAATACTTTTAGCCTCTGTAAGTTGAAAACGAATAAATGTAGTGTTTTCTATCAATTTTAGCCTGTTCCCAGAAGGTTGGCATCTATATTAGAATGCCTGATTATTGCTCATTCAGTTGGAGTGGAAAGTCTTTTTGCTGACTGCATGAAGTAAGTGATCTGAAGTAGTGCTGATACTATTAATTTAGGTACTCTGTTCTTCCATTCTCCTAATTTTCTGGGAAATTTTAGACTTGGCCTATTTTCTTGGGCACAATGTAAATAGCTTAATACTTAACTAGCTACAACAATTGAGGAGAAGTATTGATGTAGATATTACTCAAGATGCTTGGAATCAACGTTATTTTAGCTGAACCATGGTTACTTATGTTAAAATCCATGCACATAACCCAGAGTGGATTTGAAATAAATGTTTACAGAAAAGGGAACTTAGTTAAGTCCATTATAGCACTCACAAAATTAACTGTTAGGGTTAGTCAAAACATAATATATATAAAACTTATATTATTGAAAGCCAAAATGTTACTGAATATTATAATGAAAAATATTTTCATTTCTTTAACTTGAGATTCTTTGATTTTTAACAGGTGGATTGTAAAGCATTTTGCAAGGTTTTGGTCTGAGAGAAGCTTTGCAAATGTACCTCCTGAGATTCAGAAAAGTTGTCTTAATATGTTGATTCAGTCATTAGTAAGTATAACCTGAATACTTTGTGTTTGTCATCAAAAAGTTTATTAAATTTTATATAGGTACTTTCGGTGTTTTAAATACAAATGTAGAATTATATTATAAAAGCAAGATGAAAGGACCAATTCCAGATAACCCAGAACCAATTCAGAGAATCTGTCTTTAAAAACTCTGTTCCTCTGTACCAAATGCATTAGAATTCAGTCAGAGAACCACAATCACTAGAAAGTATACATTGGCTCATGAACAAAAGGGGCATGGCGCCAGGGTCGGTTATGCATTGGCTCAGTAGCAGGGACCTACACTCATTAAGGTGGATTTGGGTGCAACACTGAAACAGTGGCACCATTCTCCAAGAGGACCAGCCATCTATCTGCTGGCAGGTTAATTACATTGCACCACTTCATCATGGAAAAGGCAGTGCTTTGTTCGCAGTGTAATAAACATTTGCTCTGGATATGGATTTGCCTTCCTTACTTCCAGTGTTTCTAGTAAAAACCACTATCCGTGGACTTAACTGCCTTTTTCACCACCGTAGTATTCCACACAGCATCACTTCTGACTAAAGAACTCACTTTATAGCAAATGAAGTATGGCAGTGGGCCCATGCTTACTGATTTCACCTGTCCTACTGTGCTCCCTATCATCCTGAAGCAGCTGGCTTGATAGAATAGAGGAATGGCCTTTTGAAGACTTGGTTACAGTGCAGCCATGTGGCAGTGCCTTGTGGGATTGTGGCAGTGTCCTCCAGGATGCTGTATATGCTCTAAATCAGCTTTTGATTTATGGTGCTATTTCTTAACATAACTAGGATTCATGGGTACAGAAATCAAGGTGTGGAAATGAGAGTGGCTCCACGTATAATTACTCCTAGCGATCCACTAGCAGAATTTTTGCTTCTTGTCCCTATAACTTTAGGATCTGCTGATCTAGAGGTCTTAGTTCCAAAGAGAAGAACGTTTTCACCTATGGACACAATGATTCCATTGAACTGGAAGTTGGGACCACCTCCTTCTGGCCACTTTGTAAATCAACAGGCAGAGAAAGGGAATTATTATTAGATTGAGCCTGACTATTTTTTTTTTAAACATCTTTATTGGAGTATAATTGCTTTACAATGCTATGTTAGTTTCTGCTGTACAACAAAGTGAATCAGCTATATGTATATATATATCCCCATATCTCCTCCCTTTTACGTCTCCCTCCCACGCTCCCTATCCCACCCCTCTACGTGGTCATAAAGCACCAAGCTGATCTCCCTGTGCTATGCAGCTGCTTCCCACTAGCTATCTATAAGGAGAAATTGGGTTGGTGCTATATAATGTGGGGAAGGAGGAGTATATCTGGAATGAGGTACTCCCATGTCCTATGGTTAAAATCAATGGAAAAACTCAATTTAAGCAGCACTGATACTGGCCCAGATTCTTCAGGAATGAAATTTTGGGCCACCTTACCAGATAAACAACTATAAACAGCAGAGGTACTTGCTGAAGACAAAGGGAACATGGAATGTTTGCAGGAAAAGGTAGTTATAAATACTAGGTATGACCATGTGACCAGTTATAGAAATTAGCACTGTAGTAGTTATGAGGTAAACATATTCATTTCCCCTTTTTATATGAATGTTTATGTATATATTAACCAATTATTTTATTTCCCCACTGTCTCATTCCCCTACCATTTAGTATAAAACATGTTAACTATACCTCTGTATTTAAGTTACAGGATACCAAGGGGTAGTTTGAATCAGTTTGAAGAGAGACTTTGTATCCTATTTTAGGGAGAGGGTTAGCTTGTTTGTTTTATAGGGGATGGTTGTATATGTTAGGCATTAGCATGACTTTACTTTGTCTCCATAGGAATTAACTATGATTTAAAGAAATGTGTATGCATGCCAAGTTGACAAGGGTTGGACTGTACTGTCTCTGCAATGTGTTAGCTTGATTAGGATGAACTATGCTTCCCAGAATTTCCTTCTTTGCACTGCTTCACCTTGCCCTGTATCCTCTTTGGTTTCTCTTACCCCTGGGCCAGGGATGTGTTTAGCTGCATCATGAAGGGCGCTAGCATCTCCTGAAGGACACTCGTTTCATCCATGTTGGAGGCAGTGAGACCTAAAATGAGCCCATCCTTGTGGGTTATAGCTTGTGCTCTTGGGTGTCAGCTTGTCCTTACCCCTCACACTTTACATCCATCATCCTCTCTCAACTGCTTTCCCTGTGGACTTCATACTACAATACATCATCATATACAAAGAGTGCTTAACCAGCTCCCATAATTGCATAAGGTCAAATCCCTTTAACAGACTCCTTTATGTATATAAATACCTCCTAGTGGTCCCGTTTCTCTGATTGAACCATGAATGGCATTTTAGACTGGGTTTCATAGAAGATAATATCTAAATGTAACTGGGAAAATAAGTTTAGGCCATCAGCTGGTGATATACTGCTGCAAAAAATAAATCTAAATTTATGTTTATGCTAATGAAGGACTTTGTTGTTTTGTTGCTTACTATTTTACATTAGTTTCTTTGGTCATTGAATGGTTACTCTGTTCATGAGGCAAGCAAATGGCCCAGCTGTAATTCAGTTCAATAGAAGTGAATTATTATCTAGTGGATTTTTAAAAAACCTTTATGGTTCAAAATATACTTTTTATATTTTGAAATTACATATAACATAGGTACTCTTATTTCTACTTTATATATAAGAAAAAAGAATCAGAGAGGTAAATGCTTTATTTAAGTTCACAGTATCAGTAAATTATAAAACCAGGACTTAAAACCAATTGCTGCCATTCTAAAGGTAATATAATAGATGCTCAGCATGGGCAAAGATTATTTTTAGGCAGTATGGGCCTTGACTTCAAGGAACTCACAAATTGATGGAAGGATAGGCACTTAAACAACTATGCAAAATACAAGTTAGACTATGATGAATACTAGCATTAAGTTCCATGTCAGTCTTATTTACCTTTGCAGCACCAGCCTTAGGGCAGTGCCTAGCAGACATTAGGCACTCAGTATATATTGATAGGTAAATAAAGGAGTGAATAAGTATAATTTATAATTCAGGTTTATACGTGGAATCACAGAAGTTAAAACAATTGATTCTGATTGGAAGGATAAGAGAAGTGATGTGAGATGAACCTGAAAATAGAGGACAATTTCAAAATAAAAAAGTGACTTTTAAATGTGACCAGGGACCTGGAGTCTGGGCAGTACCAATATTCTCTTGTAACTGGAATAACGAGAGAAGATAAGTCTGGGGAGAGGCTAAGGCCAGATTGGGAGGGATCTTAACTGATTGTCTCAAGAAGTGTGGTTTTTTTTTAACAAGTGGTAAGTGAGCATAACTGAGGAATAAGTTCTTCATACTATGCCTCTCCCTCTCCTACAATATTTTATTTTGATTTTATAGCTCTAATCAGTTCCTTGTAAGCTTTGTGAATGCTTGGTTTTTCCTTTCAAAACAGATATAAAGATGAACATCAGAACAACCAAACTTATAAGCCTTTTGGCATTGTGGTGATTACAATGAAAATTTGAAATTTTGTCTTTGTGGATATTCAAATTTTAGGAAACCTTAATTTAATATATTCTTCATATTTTACTATAGAAATAAAATATATTTTGCTTTATTAATAAAAATAGAATATTTAAAAAAAATTTTAATTTTTTAATTAAAATATGAAATATATTATCCAAAACAAATGAAAGAAAGATTGAGCAATCTTCTTAAGTCTTCTTTGGCTCTAATTCAGTTAAATCACATGTTTCATGGCAGGCACTTTACTCTATCAATAATATGACTAGCACTGTCATATACAAAGGGAGATAAGAAAGTGCTGCATTGGACTATATATGGAGTTTTTTTTTTTTAATTTTAATATGAGGGACTTTGAGCTTTTTCTCCTTCTTGCTCACTATGCAGCAGTTCAGTAAGAAGTGGCTACTCCCTCCTACCAAGTACAAACCGTTGCTTTTGGGAGGAAGAGAGAGCAGGGTAGAGGAGTTAGTAGAAGAGAGAAAGTTTTTAGAAAAGTTAGGACTTCTAATTACTTGAACTATTTCAAAACAAGATTGAATTTTTCTGTTTCAAAATGTTTTGTTTTGTTTATGGTTTCCTTTGCTGTGCAAAAGTATTTAAGTTTCATTAGGTCCCATTTGTTTATTTTTGTTTTTATTTCCATTTCTCTAGGAGGTGGGTCAAAAAGGATTTTACTGTGATTTATGTCATAAATCTGTTCTGCCTATGTTTTCCTCTAAGAGTTTTATAGTGTCTAGCCTTACATTTAGGTCTTTAATCAATTTTGAGTTTATTTTTGTGTATGGTATTAGGGAGTGTTCTAATTTCATCCTTTTACATGTAGCTGTCCAGTTTTCCCAGAACCACTTATTGAAGAGGCTGTCTTTTCTCCATTGTATATCCTTGCCTCCTTTATCAAAGATAAGGTAACCATATGTGCGTGGGTTTATCTCTGTGCTTTCTATCCTGTTCCATTGATCTATATTTCTGTTTTTGTGCCAGTACCATACTGTCTTGATTACTGTAGCTTTGTAGTATAGTCTGAAGCCAGGGAGCCTGCCCCTCCAGCTCCATTTTTCTTTTTCAATATTGCTTTGGCTATTTGGGGTTTTTTGTGTTTCCATACAAATTGAGAAATTTTTTATTCTAGTTCTGTGAAAAATGCCATTGGTAGTTTGATAGGGATTGCATTGAATCTGTAGATTGCTTTGGGTAGTATAGTCATTTTCACAATGTTGATTCTTCCAATCCAAGAACATGGTATATCTCTCCATCTGTTTGTGTCATCTTTAATTTCTTTCATCAGTGTCTTATAGTTTTCTGCATACAGGTGTTTTTTCTCCTTAGGTAGGTTTATTCCTAGATATTTTATTCTTTTTGTTGCAGTGGTAAATGGGAGTGTTTCATTAATTTCTCTTTCAGATTTTTCATCATTAGTGTATAGGAATGCAAGAGATTTCTGTGCATTAATTTTGTATCCTGCTACTTTACCAAATTCATTGATTAGCTCTAGTAGTTTTCT